ATAATTACATATTATATAAAGCTAATCAAGTTGGTGGTCATCTTGGGGTAACGAGTCTGGACAACAATCCAACGGGAGGATTGTCTGGGGTCGGGACTCGTAACAATTTGTATTATAAATAAACTTGATAATGGCCCTGCCTGTCTGTGTGGTAATGAGTCTGGACTATCAACAAAAGCATCATTATCACTTCAATTCCCAATCAAACAACTTGTTCTTTAATTTTAGAAAATAATTTACATCAACGATTAACTCCGATATTCCCCCAAAATGACTTTAGCTATGGGCCAAAGCAAAGGCTGTAATTTTCAAATGCTTTAGTTTAAGTTTTTATATGATTCCAACAAACATCTAACCGGGAATGAACACCGAGGGCCTGTTTGATTTCTCCGCCGATAGGCGAGACGGTTTGCAGACGGCGCACGCCGGTCAAGTGCTATTCGCCGCTACCACCAAAGCATTTGGTATACGCCGCAGCCGAACTTTTGTAGACTTCCGGTTAAATCAAGTGACCTCGCCGCTAATATTGCCGAACTATGGTCAACCGGTATGCGCCGGTATGGACAAGTCAAACAGGGCCAATTATATTTAACAAATATAGCGCAATTACTTGTTTTCGTTACAGGTCATTTAAAACGACACCGACAATTATGCGTTCACAGACAATTCTGTGTCCACAGACAATTCCGTTTTCACAGATAATTTAATGTGTTTACAGGACAATTTGAGTAAATGTAGACCACATATTGCCGCTATAAACGGGTTAATTCAAAGACCAATACCATAGTATGATACTTACACTCGAGAACACTCAGAGTCATTCTCAGGGGTCTAATACGGAACGACAGAGCCAAAATCACAAACAGTGTTTGATAAAGCTTTTAATAATATCCAAACATAAAAAAAACTAAAATCTTCGAGAAGAATCGTTTTAAAGCAGACAAAAAGTTGCAAGCCGGTTTCGTGACTAATTTTCCTCTCGGCGGATATTTTGAGACCACTGATGTTAATTAAACCAACACTATGTGAATTGTGACGTGCGTTAAGGGCACCTGCTACGATTTTAAATTTGCACAACATTGAAAGCCACCATAGGAAATGTTTCTGTCCATTGATTTCTTTTTTATTTATTTCTTTTTAAACTTTTATGGATTTTTTTCATCTGTATTAAAGATGCATTGTGTAAGATTTAGATAAAGAGCTGACACTTCTCGCTATAACAGTTAAAAACTAGATAATGAAAAAGGAATATATTGAAAATTTCAGTCAAATTACTTCATTCTGAGCAACTTTAGGGCTGTTTGGAAAATAGTGGAGTCTCGATTGTCATTGCTGCCGTTGTTCCGATAGTAAACAAAGTCTCTATTATCCATTTTTCAATTAAAACATTAACCGCCAATCGTTTTTAAATCGGTTGAAAATCTAGAGCATCCGATGACATCGAGGGTTGATTATGGTTTTATATAATATTTAAGGCCCAAGGAAAGACCTGCAATGGACTACAACATTAGCTCGTATAATGCATCTTTAATCCAGCGATACTGCTATAAACTGAGTGGCTACTACGCTTGCGTTGTGTAATAGACGGGGTGCAGTTTGAAAACAATTTGGTATTTTTCCAAGGTATCGCCGATTGGTGTTATAGGTATCGTCAGTTGTGGTTATCGTCCGTTAGGTATAGCCGATTGTGGTTGAAATCCGCTAAGTATCACCATTTGTGCTGTAGTCCGCAAGGTATCACCGATTGTGGTTGTAGTCCGCTAGGTATGACCAGTTGTGGTTGTAGTCTGGTAGGTATCGCCGAGTTTGGTTGTAGTCCGCTAGGTATTGCCGATTGTGGTTTCAATCCGCTAGGTATCGCCGGTTGTGGTTGTAGTCCGTCGCGTGATATTTACTAACAGTCGAAGTGAGCACTCACTATTGGAACCACTCTAGGACCACAATCTATCCGGACAGGTGGATTTTATGCCCGTTATAAACATGTAACAGTAATCTCTTTGATCTTTGGGGACGGTTTTGGATATATACAGGGAAATTTAGGGTTATTCTTCTGAAAGTTTTTCTTTAAACCCTTAACGGGTTATTCTTCCAGGGTAGGTTTTTTCCATAAGAAAACATGATGTAAGGTTTTTCTTGCGGGAATTCTGGGATATTCTCATCTTGCGTACATGTAAACGGTTTATAAGCAAGATAAAGTCCTCGACTTCGGTTATGCTGGGAAAGAAAGACTTAAGAAAAAAACCATCGACAGACAAACCGAGGCCGGTTATTTTCTTCAGTTTTTCTTTCCCCAGCATAACCTCAGTTTCGTGCTTTATCCTACACATAATAAATAGTTAACATGGCACATTATTTCCTATACTAATTTCTAGGTGTCCATTCTCTGTTAGTCTTCGCTTGGTTTGTTAACGTGTAATTATTGTGACGATATTAATGGCCAAGATCTTGATTATTGTGACGTGGCATGTGAAGTGAGGTGAACTAAAATTCAAATTAAAACATTTACAACTGAATGCACTCCAAAATTCGACCTCTATGTGTAAGTTTCATCCAGAATGCATTATGTAAGATTTGTATAAAGCGCAAGCCGTTTTTGCTATATTCCTTATAAAATAGATATTGAAAAATGAATATATTGAAAATTTAATTCAAATTACTTTTACTGAGAGAAATTATCAGTGTTTGAAGTTTTGACAAGATGTAATAGGCTAGCGGTTTAAGCCCATATTTTTTCCGATACCCCTACCTATGATAGAACAAGCGTTACTTGGTATGGTTAGAAAGGTAATTTTATCGACATTATGAAATCGGTCTTTTGCGATTTTCAAAACGGGCTATAATAGTTATTTCTCCTGGTTTCCATGGCAACCGTAAAAATCATAGATATCGACTCTATGGGTAAAAACTAACTATATTTAAAAATATTAACCTGTTATTCGCAAGCCCGTAGCCAGCGGGTGGGAAGGATAGGGGGGAAGGGGTGCAATTCCCCCTTGAAAAAATGTTTTGCCCCCCCCCCCCACGAAAAATAAGTTGCCGACCATAGCTCTAAAGTACCTACTGTGGACTGTGCCCCCCATAAAAGCTTCACTGCCCCTCCTCAGCCACCGAGCTGGCTACTGGCCTGGTTGTTCGCCCTCCTGTCAGCTATAATCAAAACGAGGACAATGCAGAACACGTAAAGTGTCGGTGGTCTGCATTCACATACACAAATATTAGAGTTATCTCCCGACTTTGCGACTGGATAAGCAATTGCAATGGTGTCAGCTATCTGGCAATAGTACACCATTAATTTCCCCATCGACTCGAATATTAATTCTCGTATATTTTCTTTACCGAAATAGATCAGGGAACAATGTGTGGCAACCTCTTGCTCATCTTGCTCAAGCGCGCATATGGGGTTCACCATGACAATCTTGAAATACACAAATTGGAAGTAGCATACTAACAAGGATGCAACTCTCTGCCCTACATTTCAATGTAACCGCAACCCCTTAGCTCTAAAATCCTTTCGCCTCAAATCATGAATATTCACCAAATTTTCTGGAGTAGCGGTGGGGAAGTTTTTCAGATGATGGTTCAGATGAGTTTGATCCCATGCTTTAGTAGCCAAGAAAGTTTGGAGTAGAACGCCGAACCTGATAAGAAACAGCGGCACCGTCCGCCGGGGTACACGTTGGCGTATATGTAAAAGAACCCGTGGCAGTTTCAATTTGGTGAATGGTAGTCACAAACGCTGCTGTCCGTCAAAATTTCCATGACAGCACACTGTCCTAGTTGGAAAGAAAAATAGCGCGTTAAAGGGCCAATCCCGATAATATTTTGGAGAAAAAACTGCTTAATTTTGTGTTAAAATCCCCAAAAATCCTTTACCTTAAGGCCGAGCAACTAACTCAATATATGTGATACATTTTCAAACAACTTAAACCCGTCAGTCTTAATCTGGAAATGGAGATCGATGTCCCAAGCTGTATTATGTGGTGTCTGGATAAAACCAGACTTTTATTTTATAAAAATAATGTGTAGCTGAAATTTACCTTTCGTTATCAAGTACAGCATGTGGGCCATGCACTGTATAGAACTCTAAAGGAACGGGAATTCATTATCAGGTCACCCAAGGAAAAAATTGACCCGAAATCTTAAAAGGGTTACGTGTCCGGATAAGCAATTTTGACGTTCACGTCCAAACGACGAGACAAGGTGGATACACTATTCCTCTATATTTTGGCGCTTAAGTTTCATACGTACTCTGACTTTTATTTTTGAGACTCTGTTCAAATCGGGATAGTCCCTTTAAACCCAATTTCATTTCATTTCTTTGACAAAGCTAAACGGTTGCTGGCCATACTCAGCCTCAAATTCAAATACACGTAATTAACAAAGCGAAAAATATGTTTAAATCCAACCAATTATCTGAAGATTCATCTACTTGAATATAGGTTACTCAGATGAACTATATGGACGATGCATCGACTTAAATATACGTTAATCTAGTGGGCTATAATGAAAATACATCGACTTCAATATATGTCACTGATGGAGCATATGTTATCGTGAAATATTTAGGTGTCAGAGCGGTGGAAATCTTCCGATCATTTTTAACTATTATAACAACAACACTGGCGATCATTGTGATAGATAATGATCATATGATCATACAATCAATCATAGATTGGAACTGGAAATTAAACGCCATTACATATAATTTATTTGTTCGCTTAATAATATCTATTAATGTACAACATGCTTTATTGGTACAGCATCCCACAGATCTTCAACTTGTCCCTACAATTCAGTTAAAGCGTCATTCTCGTGGAAAACACGCTAACGGTCTCTAGTCATTTTTCATGTTGCTGCACATCTTATAGGGAGTAGGTATAGGGTCGATACGCCACCGTCCACTCGTGTGTATTGATCTTGGAGAATGGCTGGTTATTTCATGCAGCGATTCCAATACACTCACGACATCTAGTGGCGATAGAACGACAGTAGAAACAAGCGTTTGGACTTAGAGCATGCGCGTTCTCGTCAGCTAGTATATGGAGTATGGTCTGTCTATCAGGACTTTAGTGAGGTAGAGACAAGTTACACTTCGTTTCATATGTAAACACTACCAACATGTGGTATATTTGGAATGTGTATTGTTTTATGTCAGTGGTTAATCTAGCGAGGTAAGTAACTATCTCTTTTCCATCAGACAATAGAAGTTTCCACGTAGGCATTGGTCATTACAGTATTGGCAATCTTCGTGTATCTCATGTCCCTAATTAATTCATCGTTTTATCTGAGTTTTCTGTTAAAGAAATTAGGTTAAACAGATTAGCTTAGATATTTGTTGTTTTGGAAACCCCAATCTGTCCAATAATGTCAAATGTGGTTCGTACATCGATTAGTATTATACAGTGATTGCTTTCGGCCGTCACAAGGTGTAGAGAGGGAGGGAAAGGTCTGTTCTACTATACAGAGATGTTGTTATTTATTACGGAAATCAGGTTAAACAGATTAGCTCATATATTTGTTGTTTTGGAACCCCCGATCAGTCCAACAATGTCAGATGTTTTCGTACACTGATTAGCATTATACACCAATTGCTTTCTACCGTCACAAGGTGTAGAGAGGGCGGAGGGGAATCGGCTCTATTACGCATAGACATCAATTTTTATTAAGAGAATCGGGTATCACAGATTGACTCAGAAATTTGTTGTTTTGGAACTCACGATCTACCCAGTAATAACCATGACCCCTAAGTATTGTACATTAATTGCTCCCGATCACAAGAAGGTGTGGAAACAGAAAGAGCTGCCTTACTACATACATACATTGTTATTGTTACAGTATTGGTTAGATTTATCTATCAGTAGGGGACGATTCACCACTGAGTAACACGTGTAACAATAATCAGCAGTTCCTCAAACATCGTACAGAAGGGATATGCTGTAAGGTCAAAAATATATTTACAATCTTATTTCAGGTTGCCTTTAATCCTAAATATATATTTGCAACCTTCAGTGTCACTTCAGAGATGGTCCTTTATTGTGCTATGTTTAAAGGTTGATAAAAACGAAAGACGTATCGTGTGTTTGTAATACAGTGGACGAGGCACTATTACTATGTATTCGGTCGCCGACATGTACTATAACAATATCTACATGTCTCCGCTTTCGATACTTGAGATTTAACAGTAGCAAACAACAAGTGGGTTGGGCATTAAAATGTTCTTGTACATAAGATTTTAATCAAAATTACTTTTCTGGAACACCACCAAATCTCGTTTCACATCAACTATATATATTGTTCTTTTACAAATTAATTTCTGGAGTTTCCATCGAGGTCATTTTAATTGTATGAAAACTTGTTTTGGGATTTAGTTCAATACCTTAATTTTCTACACAATGTGGCCTACTCTTATTTTGGTTTCAAAATGTCCGGGATGTTAATGTTATAAAGGATCTCGGCTTGTACTCCCATTCGAACGAGTAGGCGCTTGTTCTTGCAGGCCCATCCATCCTGCATCACTGACAAGTGACAATCAGGCTGAGATTGTGTTTGATATTTAAGCTCTTTATATACATTTATCGTGTAATGTTGGCCATATAATATGGTGAATTATTTATAACATACCGACCATCAACTGTAAACGTGTGTTATTTATTACTTCTTAATAACATCCCGGGAGGATTACAGTATACTGTCTTATAGATCGTTGTGTCAACGTTGGTCGCCATTATTTTTGTAGCGATGACTTTTTGGCATGTCACAGAAGACATGTCTGGAAGATTTAAGGTCATACATTTCTGCACCTATCGGCTAAATGAAGCGTCATTCAGAAAGCACTAAGCAATGGTTGAAATCGTGCCTCTTCAATGTTCTTATAAATATAGAAGTTTGTTTTACATGTTAAATGGTTTATGTTTTCACTTTAAAAAACAATTTATGTGCAAAGTAATTTTTCTCCAAATCATAATTATGTCGTATTGTTTTTAATGTTTACTAAGTTTAATTGGAAGTCTATGTGCCTATAAATTTCGTATATTGGATTATATTTCGCTATTTTGTCTTTTTATTATTCGGATCCATCTCTTTTGATTGCCGCTGAATATCCAAGCCTCTTTGCGGGGTGGGTGGGGCATTAATGTCCAAAATAATTGGTTCCGATTTTTTTGTAATATATTTTCTGTTGTTAAATTTAACTGTGTTTCAATCAGATTGGGGCCTCAATCCGACACAAGGTTGAGGATGAATATGTAGGTACATACATGTAGGAGTAAGTACCAAGCAAATTACCTTTTGTAATTTGAATTTATTTATTTTGATTGTGATGGTCGGCGGGGAAGGTCTTCACGGGAACGGTGGGGATGGTCGGGCCGATTTACCCCAATACTACCTCATTATTGTGAAAATACTTTAATTAAATACAAATAATAATTAATTTGTTTATTTCTTTTTTATTTTTTTATTTTTTATTGTTTGTTTGCGGATTCCTTGAGGTAGTATGTGATGGTAGTATGTTGTAGTATTGAGTGGTACTGGGTAGTATTGAGTGGTACTGGGTAGTATTGAGTGGTACTGGGTAAATCGTCCTACCAGATTGGGATCAAGACAAGGTAGTATTGGGTGGTACAGGGTAGTATAGGGTAAATCATCCTACCAGGATGGGACCAAGATAAGGTAGTATTGGGTGGTACTGGGTAGTATAGGGTAAATCGTTCTACCAGGTTGGGACCAAGACAAGGTAGTATCAAACAAACTGCATTGATAAGACAGTTATCAATTTAGAGTTATTGGTATTCAGTCCATGTAAATCTCAACATGGTAATGAAAATCAAATTAACCATGACTTAATGTTATATCGGTAAGCTAGAACCAGCCACTAGACACGAATAGCAGGAAATATTTGAATTGGATTAGCAGCGCGAGTAGCGGCCACTTGTTATAATTGCTGTAGATCAGTATACAGTATGTAATTGATGTAATGTTATTGTCAATATCCCATCACATGGAGGATCCCTTGGTTAATATAAATATGATTAATTCAATATTAGGTTATTATATAGCTCATACTACAGCGGTAAGAATGCACTGTTATTAACTTTATTCCCAGTAGCCTTGTTCATCCATCGTGTTCAATTAAATGGTGTTTAATCTAGTACTTAATACATAGCATAATGATTCCAGTTGTCTGGTGTGTGTGGGGGGGAGGGGGGGACATACGGTAAAGTTCAATTTCGCTGTTTCCCATATTAAAACCAACAAAGGGTTTCAAAGGCGTAAGATACATTGTCACGAAAGTAATTACAGGTTAGTTATTTCCAAGAAAAGTATGGCAAATTTCGTATATATTGAAGGTGGAGACGCCCAATCTTACAAGAAAAATACTGGACGGGTCCCACCCCCACCCCAAACCACCGATAAGGCAAGCGCTGAGCAAAATGTCAGGGTATTACTAACTGGCAACCCGACGGCTTCTTGTCTGCTAGCTTGGCTTAGGGAGAGGTTGTTATTTTATGATCGAATGGTTAGGCGGTTTTGGGAACATTGTGGGGTGTAAGCGTACAACAGACTCTGTAATTAAACCACGGAAAAATAACTTGGCAAAAGATAATCCAAGAATTTACTTAGGCTTCAATGTGAATGGTAAATGGACAGTAAGTAGCGATACATAGATTCTGCAAATGGACCCTCTCTCAATCAAGTTAGGCGACAAACATGGCCTCGAGAATTCATTGTTTTGAGAGGGATCCGAAGCAAATTTTTGAAAAATTATTTAGTTTGAATATGTTTTAGTTCAATTATATCTTCAGATCACCCGGTTTGTACATGGGAAGGTATCTTTAAAGACAGACATACTAACTGAAGTATATGGAAGATCAAATTGTTCGGGTTGCTTATTCTTGCACAAGGAATTGGTATTAAAAGCCAGCCTTTCTGGGCTCCAACCAAAGCTCATGAATCCACGCTTATACAAGTGTCGTTACGGATCACGGCAAAACATGATTATTTTTCTTATAAGCGTTCTTTATTCAGGTTTAATTAAATTTACAAACGGAATGCGGGATGCCTAAGTGATTTAGAAGCTGGCTCACTAAGCAATTCAGGCAATTGTCCCCATATCACAAAGCATTGCGTATGTACGTCTTCATCAACCCGATTATTGCAAGAAAAAGTCGGATGTTGAAGGCATTTCGTTTCATTTCTAAAGAAAATCCAAATTGTTCAATGATTACAGCTTGAAATGCTCCTCACAACATCTATATGAAATTATTTTTCAATCACGTCCATGATTCCGAAGAAATATGCCAGACGGACGATAAACAGACGTGTATAAATCCATTACAATCTATCTATGAAATTGTATTCATCTAAATGATACATTGATATTCACCAGATTCCACGCTAGGACTTTCATAGTGTAAGCAGTATACATACGCTTCTCCAAACCAGGGTCCGTGAGAGGGGCGACAGCTTGGACACCTGTTGCTCGGCCCTAAGGTAGAGAATTTTAAGGGCTTTAACACAAGCAGTTTTATTCTCCAAAATATAATCGAGATTTGCTTTTTAACAAGACCTTATATTCGATGTTCAGCGAAGGAAGAATAAGGAGAGCCCACTTACTACTAACCCCAGGATCCATTTACTTGATCCGATATGTGAATTTGTTGTTTTTGCTGTCTGTATATTGTGTCTTGTCCGTAGGTCTGTCCTGTGTAAATGTTTGTGTGTGGTGCAACTCCCCTGCACGTACTATTTGAGCTTATTCTAGGATTTCAACATCGGTCCCCCTGTGTCAGTCACGCAGGATGGCGAGTGACAATGAACAGCGTCTATTCGTGCGGATGGCCTGAGCGTCCCTGTCCGGGAGAAACACCCCTCAGACCACACTGTATGGTGAATGCCCGTCTTCATGAGTTTTGTTTATGCAGACCAGTATGACGTTAAACCAAATTTGATTTCATTTCATTTCATCATTAGTAAATACTTTGGTTTCAACAAACATATCGTTAAACGTTGACCACCGTAGTTCAGTTTGTCTGAGCACGGCTTTAGTAACGACATTCTATTTACTCTGTCTGTCTAATCGGGAATAGAAAACGTTAAAACTCTAACCCGTCCTCGGTTTGTTCTGTTCATTTAATAGCTTCTAGGTTGGGTATATTTACTCCCGGCGTCATAA